GGAAGGGTGAGCCGGGTGGCATGAGAGCTTGCAGGGTGGCATGAGGCCAGGTCTGTTGCGCAAACATCTGTTCGTACCCAGAAGACTCACCAGGGAAGAAACATGCAAAAGACCCACAGGGATGGGAGACTGCAGGAGACTTTTATTTTCTTTTTTGCTTTGCTTTATTTTCCTAATTCTCTGCCACCAACAGGGATTATCTTATAATCAGAGGGGGAAAAAAACCTTTCAGAAAAGGGAGGTGCTGGCTGGTGGGGTGATGAGTCGCCCCCACAGGACCTGGAAGTGCCCGGGGCTCTGGGAACTGGGAACAGCTGTGGAGCAGGCCTCATCTCCCCAGCCGTAAGATGCAAAGTGCCAGCCTACAGTGGGGACTCCGAATCCGTCTGCCTCCGCCGCTTCCTACTTCTCAGCCTCCCCTCTCCAGGTGGGAGCCTGCATGCGGCACAGGCCGGGGACGCCGGGAAAAGAGCCCAGTCCCACATGACCCCACACAGCGAGATCACAGTCCTGGAGCCCAGAAGGTGGGTGAGGACTCTGGTCCTGGGAGCACCCCACCCTTCAGCTTGGTGGCTTCTTCCACTGTTCCATTTTCTTTTCTTTTTTTTTTTTTTTTTTTGAGTTGGAGTCTCACTCTGTCACCCAGACTGGAGTGCAGTGGCTGCTCCCGGCCACCGCAGCCTCGACCTGCTGGGCTCCGGCCATCCTTCCGCCTCAGCCTTCCAAGTAGCCGGAATTACAGGCACGCGCTACCACACCCGGCTGATTTTTTGATTTATTGTAGAGATGAGGTCTCGCTACCCAGGCGGGTCTTGAGCCCACGGGCTCAGGCAATCCACTCACCACTGTTCCATTTTCACCACAGAGGGTGGGCGGGGGTTTCCGGCCTGGGTGGAGGACTCGGAACAAGCGGTAATAAGAGGACGAGGACTCCAGCGAGTGGAGCAGCCCCTAGTCCAGGCCACACCAGTCCCTGCCCCTCAGCTCAGCCTGGGGGTGGGAGGTGCAGGGGTAGCAGAGACAGCAGCCCTCAGAGGTGCACAAGCTGGGACCCACAGAGTGACAGAAACTAACTGTGCCCCCTGCACCCGCCACCTTGTGTCCCCTCATCCAGCTTGCTCTCTATCAAATGCGATGACAGCTGGTCTCGGGCCGAGGATGGGTGGCGGCCTGGTAGAGACAGTGGACGTAGGTGACCCTCAGGAAGGGCCACGCTGGGGCCTCCCAGCTGACTACTGGGGCCACACTCCTACTCTGCCCCAGAAGCCTAAAGGCCCGGAGCCCTCTCCACTCAGACCCTGGGGTAGACAGCCAGTGGAGGTCTGGCCCGGCTCAGAGTGGACGAGGTCTTGCTGGGCAGGATCCACGGGAGGCCAGAGAGATTGCAGGACCAGCTCCCTCTAGCCCTGCTGGTGTCCCAGACTCATACCAGGACCCACTTTCACCCAGGACTTCGTGGAACAGACAAGTGCTGGCTCTCCTGGGGCTCTCTCCTTTAGGCCTCTCCTCCCTGAGATGCCCTTCTCCCAGGCCGGGTACCGCCTCTCCAAAGCGCCCCTCCCCAGCAACCTTCTCCCCCAGATCCCCCCCAGGGTCCCCACCAGGGACTCACTCCTCCACCAG